TTTGCTTTTGGGACGTGTATTTTTGGGGGGTTTCTGAAATGGCCCAAACTATTTCACAATATTTTTTAGGGGAACAAATTTAGTCAGTACTGCACCTGAACATACTTTGGGAAAGAAAAAGGTCGTTAACCCGGGGGTTTCCCCTGTAAATTTTTAAAGGGTCATGAGTTATATAAATTTTTTCCTGTCATTGACCCTTTTTCCGGGAAAAAGTTCCCGTATGGTGTGTTGCCCGGAAATTTTATGTTGTAGAAACCACTTTAAAGTGAGTTTCTGGTGTTACTAATGGTTTTTGGGTTAGTACTGGTGTTGTTTAAAACCCTTCCCTTAAAGTTGTGGAGGGCCCCTTTTTAAGTGGTACTGGTGTTACTTTTGGGGTAAATGTTAGTACTGGTGTTGTTGACCCGGGCCCTTTTAGGGTTTTAGAGCCCCCCCTCTTTAAAGTGAGTATGGTTTTTACTACTGGTGTAGTTTAGTACTGGGGTAGTTGACCTGACCTTCTATGTTGTGAGAGCCACTTTAACGTGAGTACGGGGGGTTTTCTACTGGTGTTTGGGTAGTATGGTGTTTGTTGACCTGACCTTTATGTTGTGAGGCCACTTTAACGTGGGGGTACTGGGTTTTACCCCCGGGGTAGTTTTTAGTTCCGGGGGTAAATTGGGCCTGACCTTCTATGTTTTGGAGCCCCTCTTAAAGTGATTTTGGTGTTCTTGGTGTAGTGTTAGTACTGGTGTGTTTTACCCGACCTTCTATGTTGTGGAGCCATCTTAAGTGAGTATGGTGTTATAAAGGTTTTAGTGTTTTGTTTTGGTGTAGTTGAATGACCTTCTATGTTGTGGAGCCCCCTCTTAAAAGTGAGTATGGGGGTTTTATGGGGTAGGGGTTTTGTACTGGGGGGAGTTGACCTGACCTTCTATGTTGTGAGGGGCCCCCTTTTAACGTTTAGTACTGGTGTTTCTACTGGTGTAGTGTTAGTATGGGTTTGTTGAAACCCGGGCCTTCTTGTTGTGAGAGGGCCAAATCCTTTAAAGTGAGTACTGGTGTTTCTACTGGGGTAGTGTTATATGGTGTGTTGACCTGACCTTTATGTTGGGAGAGGGCCCCTCTTAACGTGAGTATGGTGGTTTACTGGTGTAGTTGACCCGATTTATGTTGTGAGAGCCACTCTTAAGTGAGTACTGGTGTTACTAAGGGGGCGTGTTAGTATGGTTTTAGTTGAAACCCGACCTTCTAGGGTTGGGGAGAGCCACTCTTAAAAGTGAGTAATGGTGGTTTCTACTGGTGGGAGTGTTAGTCTGGTGTAGTTGACCCGACCCTTTTTGTTGTGGAGCCACTCTTTTTCGTTTTTGGGACTGGTGTTATAATGGTGTTGTTAGTACTGGTGTAGTTGCTGACCTTCTATTTTTGTGAGAGCCCATTTTAAAGTGAGTATGGGTTACTAGGGTAGTGTTAGTTAAATGGTGTGTTTACCCGCCTTTTTATGTTGGAGAGCCCCTCTTAACGTGGAGTATGGGTTTGGGGTTTTTAAATTTTTGGTTGGGGTTTTTGGGTTTGTACTGGTGTAGTTGACCTGACCTTCAAATTTTTGAGAGCCCCTCTTAACGTGAGTACTGGTTTTCTACTGGTTTTAGTGTTTGTACTGGGTGTAGTTGGGCCTGACCTTTTTATGTTGGGAGAGCCACTCTTAACGTGAGTCTGGTGTTACTTCTGGTGTAGTGTTGTACTGGTTTTAGTTTTACCTGACCTTCTATGGTTTTGAGACCAAATCTTAAGTGAGTACTGGTGTTACTACTGGGTGTAGTGTTAGTTAAATGGTGTTGGGTTTGGGGGTGACCCTTTTATGTTGTGAGGCCACTCTTAACGGAGTATGGGGGTTTTATGGTGGGAGTGTTTGTATGGGTTTTAGTTGACTGCCTTTTTATGGTTTTGAGAGGCCCTCTTAAAAGTGAGTTTCTGGGGTTATACTGGGGGTAGTTTAATACTGGTGTAGTTGGGGCCTGGGCCCTTTTATGTTTTGGGCCACTCTTAACTGAGTATGGTGTTACACTGGTTAGTGTAGTACTGGTGTAGTTGACCTGACCTTCTTGTTGTGAGAGCCACTCTTAAATTTAGTACGGTGTTACTACTTTGGGGTTGTGTTAAATACTGGGGTAGTTGACCTGACCCTTTTAAGTTGTAGAGGCCACTCTTAACGTGAGTTCCCGGTGTTTTCTACTGGTGTAGTGTTGTAATGGTGTAGGTTTACCCGACCTTCTATGTTGTGGGGGGCCACTTTAACGTGGGGGGTTTTAAAATGGTGTTACTTCTGGGGTAGTGTTGTATTGGGGTAGTTGACCCGAACCCTTTCTTTTCTTTAGGCCAAATTTTAAAGGAGTACTGGTTTTTTACTACTGGTTTTAGGGGTTAGTTTTTGGTGTTTGTTGGGCCTGACCTTTTTTTGTCTCTGAGAGCCACTTTAACGTGAGTTTGGTGTTACTATGGTGTTGTTTAGACTGGGGTTGTTGACCCTGACCCTTTTTGTTCTGGGGAGCCACTCTTAACTGGGGTAATGGTGTTTCTATGGTGTTTGTGTTAGTCTGGGTGTTGTTGACCTGACCTTTTGTTTGAGAGCCCCTCTTTTAATTTAGTACTGGTGTTAATCTGGTGTAGTTTTTAGTTTGGTGTAGTTGGGCCTGACCTTCTTGTTCGGGGAGCCCCTTTAACGTGATTACTGGTGTTACTACTGGTGTAGTGTTAGTATGGTGTAGTTGACCCGACCCTTTATGTTGTGAGAGCCCCTCCCAAAAGTGAGTACTGGTGTTACTATGGTGTAGTTTTTAGTATGGTGTAGTTGACCCGGGCCCCTTTATGTTGTGAGGGGCCATCTTAACCCTGAGTATTTGGGGTTTTTCTACTGGGGTAGTGTTTTTAATGGTTTTAGTTGACCTGACCTTCTATTTTTGTGAGAGCCAAATCTTAAAGTGGGTACTGGTGTTTTCTACTGGTGTTTTTGTTATCTGGTTTTAGTTGACCTGACCCTTTTATGTTTTGGAGCCCCCTCTTTAAAGTGAGGGAGGTGTTACTACTGGTGTAGTGTTAGTACTGGTGTGTTGACCTGACCTTCTTGTTGTGAGAGCCAAATCTTAAGTGGGGTACTGGTGGTTTTAGGGGGTAGTGTTGTAGGGTTTTAGTGACCCGACCTTCTATGTTGTGAGAGCCACTCTTAACGTGAGTACTGGTGTTACTACTGGTGTAGTGTTAGTACTGGTGTTGTTGACCTGACCTTCTATGTTGTGAGAGCCACTCTTAACGTGAGTACTGGTGTTACTACTGGTGTAGTGTTAGTACTGGTGTAGTTGACCTGACCTTCTATTTTTGTGAGAGCCCTCTTAAGTGAGTACTGGTGTTACTAATGGGTAGTGTTTGTACTGGTTTTTGTTGACCTGACCCTTTTATGTTGTGGGGCCACTCTTTTAAAGTGAGTACTGGTGTTTACCCGGTGTAGTGTTGTACGGTGTAGTTTTCCTGCCTTCTATGTTGGAGAGCCACTCTTAACGTGGGGTACTGGTGTTACTAAATTGGGGGTAGTGTTAGTTCTGGTGTAGTTGACCTGACCTTCTTTGTTGTGAGAGCCACTTTACCCTGAGTACGGGGGTTACTATGGTTTTTGGGTTAGTACTGGTGTAGTTGACCTGCCTTCTATGTTGTGAGAGCCCCTTTAAATTTAGTACGGGGGTTCTTTCTGGTGGGAGTGTTAGTACTGGTGTAGTTGGGCCTGAACCCTTTTATGTTGTGAGAGCCACCTTTTTAAGTGAGTATGGTGTTTTCTAAATGGTGTAGTGTTAGTACTGGTTTTAGTTGACCCGACCTTTTTGTTGTGAGAGCCAAATCTTAAGTGAGTATGGTGTTTTTACTGGTGTAGTGTTTTGTACTGGTTTTTAGTTGACTGACCTTCTATGTTGTGAGAGCCAAATTTAAAGTGATTTCTGGTGTTACTATGGTGTAGTGTTAGTACTGGTTGGGAGTTGCCCGACCTTTTTATGTTGTGAGAGCCACTCTTAACGTGAGTTACTGGTGTTATACGGTTTTTAGTGTTTGTATGGGTGTTGACCTGACCTTCTTGTTGTGAGACCAAATCTTAAGGAGTATGGTGTTACATGGTGTAGTGTTTGGACTGGTGTAGTTGACCCGACCTTCTATGTTGTGAAAAGCCACCCTTAAAATGGAAATTTTGGTGTTTCCCATGGTTTTTAGTATTAGTACTGGTTTTAGTTGCCTGACCTTTTATGTTGTGAGAGCCCCTCTTAAGGGGTTTTCGTGTTTATAAGTTTTAGGGTTTGTATGGTGTAGTTTACCCGAACCCTTTTATGTTGTGAGAGCCCCTCTTAAAGTGAGTATGGTGTTAAAATGGTGTGGTTTAGTACTGGGGTAGTTGACCCGACCCCTTTTATGGGTTTTGGGGGGCCCCTTTAAGTGAGTACTGGTGTTATATGGTGTTTTTGTTGTACTGGTGTAGTTGGGCCTGACCTTCTATGTTGTGAGAGCCCCCTCTTAACGTGAGTAAGGGTTAAATTCTGGTGTTGTGTTAGTACTGGTGTAGTTTACCTGACCTTTATGTTGTGAGAAACCACTCTTAAAGTGAGTTTTCAGGTTTTTTACTACTGGGGGTGTGTTTGTTTCCGGGGGTTTTGACCCGCCTTTTTGTTGTTTAGAGCCACTCTTAACGTGAGTACTGGTGTTTCTACTGGTGTGTGTTAGTTTTTGGTTTTGTTGACCCGACCTTCTATGTTGTGAGAGCCCTCTTAACGTGAGTACAGGTTTTTACAATGGTGTTTGTTACTACTGGTGTTGTTGACCTGCCCTTTTATGTTTGTGAAAAGCCCCTTTAAAGTGAGTACTGGTGTTATATGGTGTAGTGTTTTTACTGGGGTTGTTGAATGACCCTTTTATGTTGTGGAGCCACTCTTAACGTGAGTACTGGTGTTTTATGGTGTTGTTTACCTGACCTTCTATGTTGTGAGAGCCCCTCTTAAAGTGGTTTGGTTTTTATACTGGTGTTTGTGTTGTACTGGTGTAGTTGACCTGACCTTTTATGTTGTGAGAGCCACTCTTAACGTGAGTACAGGGTTAATACTGGTTTTTAAATGTTATATGGTGTTGTTTTACCTGACCTTCTGTGTTGTGGGGAGCCACCTTAACGTGAGTACTGGTGTTTTCTACTGGGTAGTGTTAGTTTGGTGAGGGACCTGACCTTCTATGGGTGAGAGCCCCTCTTAACGTGAGTACTGGTGTTTTTTAATGGTGGAGTTTTTTAGTTTCTGGTGTTTTTGTTGACCGACCCTTTTATGTTGTGGAGCCCCCTTCTTTTAAAGTGATTTTTGGGTTACTACTGGTGTGGTGGGTTTCTACTGGTGTTGTTGGCCTTTGACCCCTTTATGTTTTGAAGGGGCCCCCTCTTAACGTGGGGTACTGGTGTTACTACTGGTGTATTTTTGTACTGGGGGTAGTTGACCTAACCCTTTTATGTTTTGAGGACCATCTTAACGTGGTTTTTGGTGTTACTACTGGTGTGTGTTTGTACTGGTGTAGTTGACCTGACCCTTTTTGTTGTGAGAGCCCCCTTTAACGTGAGTATGGTTTTTAATATGGTGTAGTGTTAGTATTTGGGGTAGTTGACCCGACCTTTTATGTTGTGAGGCCCCCTCTTTTAAAGTGGATATTTTTGTTTTCTACTGGTTTGTGTTTGTACTGGTGTAGTTTACCCGACCTTTATGGGTTTTGGGAGCCACTCTTAACGTGAGTACAGGTGTTATAAGGTTTTTAGTGTTTGTATGGTGAAATTGACCTTTATTTTTATGTTGTGAAAAGCCCCCTTTTTAAAAGTTTAGTAAGGTGTTTACAGGTGTAGTTTAAATACTGGTTTGTTGACCCGACCTTCTATGTTGTGAGAGCCACTCTTTTCGTGAGTACTGGTGTTTTCTACTGGTGTAGTGTTAGTATGGGGTAGTTGGGCCTGCCTTCTATGTTGTTTAGAGCCACTCTTTCGTGAGTACAGGTGTTACTACTGGTGTAGTGGGTTTTACTGGTGTTTTGACTTTACCTTCTATGTTGTGGGGAGCCCTCTTAACGTGAGTACTGGGGGTTACTATGGTGTAGGTTAGTTCCCGGTGTAGTTGACCTGACCCTTTATGTTTTGAGAGCCCCTCTTAAGTGGAGTACTGGTGTTCTACTGGTGGTTTTTGACCTTTACCCTTTTATGTTGTGAGGCCAAATTTTTAAAAAGAGTACTGGGGGTTTCTACTGGTGTGGTTAGTACTGGTGTAGTTGACCTGACCTTCTATGTTTTGGGCCATCTTAACGTGAGTACAGGGGTTACTACTGGTGTTGTGTTATACTGGTTTTTTGTTGACCTGACCTTCTATGTTGTGAGAAACCCCCTTAAGGAGTACTGGTGTTACATGGGGTTGTGTTAGTATGGGTAGTTGGAAACCCGACCCCTTTTATTTTTTGTGAGACCATCTTAACCCTGAGTATGGTGTTACTACTGGTGTTGTTGACCTGCCCTTTTATGTTTTGAGAGCCCCCTTCCCAAACGGGGAGTACTGGTGGGTTTCTACTGGTTTTAGTGTTAGTACTTTTTTTTAGTTGACCTGCTTCTAAAGTTGTTTAGAGCCCCTTTAACGTGAGTACAGGTTTTTTCTACTGGGGGGGAGTGTTACTACTTTGGGGGTTTTTGACCCGACCTTCCCATGTTCTGAGAGGCCCCTCTTAACGTGAAATACTTGTTTTACTACTGGTGTAAATGGTTTTGGGACTGGGGGGTAGTTTGGGCCCCGACCTTCTTTTGTTGGAGAAACCCCCCTTAAAGTGAGTTTTGGTGTTTTCTACTGGTGTGGTGTTTGTACTGGGTAGTTGGGCCTGACCTTCTTGTTGTGAGAGCCATTTTTAACGTGAGTACTGGTGTTACTACTGGTGCAGTGTTTTGAAATGGTTTTAGTTGACCCGACCTTCTATGTTGGGGAGAAACCCCTCTTAAAGTGGTACAGGTGTTTCTTCTTTTTTGTAGGGGTTAAATACTGGTGTTGTTGACCCCGACCTTCTATGTTTGGAAAAGCCATCTTAAAGTGGGTATGGGGTTTTCTACTGGTGTAGTGTTAGTACTGGTGTTGTTGACGACCCCTTTATGTTTGGAGCCATCTTAACGGGGAGTATGGGGTTCTCTGGTGTAGTGTTTTTGTAATGGTGTAGTTGACCTGACTTCTAGTTGTGAGAGCCATCTTTAAAGTGAGTACTGGTGTTATACGGTTTTGTGTTAGTACTGGTGTTGTTGACCTGAACCCTTTTTATGTTGTGAGAGCCCCTCTTAAAAGTGAGAATGGTGTTTTTTGGTTTTAGTGTTAGTAGGGGGTTTGTTGACCTTTACCCTTTTATGTTGTGGAGGGCCCCTCTTAACGTGAGTCTGGTGTTACTACTGGGGTGTGTTGTATGGTTTTAGTTGAACCCGACCCTTTATGTTGTTTAGAGCCACTCTTAAAAGTTTTAGGTTTCTGGTGTTACTATGGTGCAGTTTTGTACTGGGGTAGTTACCTTTCCTTCTTTGTTGTGAGAAACATCTTAACGTGAGTACAGGTTTTTACTACTGGTGTTTGTGTTTTATGGTTTTTTGTTTGACCTGAACCCTTTTATGTTGTGAGAGGGCCCCTCTTAACGTGGTCCCGGTGTTACTTTTCTGGTTTTAGTGTTAGTATGGTGTTGTTGAAATGCCTTCTATGTTGGAGAGCCACTCTTAACGTGAGTAATGGTGTTTCACTGGTGTAGTTTTTGGGAATTTCCCCCCCCCCCCCCCCCCCCCCCCCCCCCCCCCCTTTTGTTGACCCGACCTTCTATGTTGTGAGAGGCCCCTTTAACCCTGAGTATTTTTGTTATAATGGTGTAGTGTTAGTTTTGGGGTAGTTGACCTGACCCTTTTATGTTGTTTGGGGCAAAATCTTAAAAGTGGGGACTGGTGTTACTTGGTGTTTTTTGACCCGACCTTCTATTTGTGGAGCCACTCTTAAAGTGGTACTGGGTTACTAATGGTTGTGTGTTAGTTTTGGGTTTAAATTGACTGACCTTCTGTGTTTTTGAGACCAATCTTAAAAATTTAGACTGGTGTTACTACTGGTGTAGTGTTAAATTTTCTGGGGTAGTTTACCTGACCTTCATGTTGTGGAAACCCCCTTTCCCTGAGTACTTTGGGGTTATACTGGTTTTTGTTGACCTGACCTTCTTGTTGTGAGAGCCACCCCTTTTAAATTTTTACTGGTTTACTTTCTGGTGTAGTGTTAGTATGGTGTAGTTGTCCTGAAACCCTTTTTGTTGTGGAGCCACTTTTTAAAGTGAGAAAGGGGTTACTACTGGTGTAGTGTTAGTTTTGGTGTAGGTTTACCTGATTTGTTTGTTTGGACCCCTCTTAACGTGGTATGGTGTTTACTCGGTGTGTGTTTTGTACTGGGTGTAGTTGACCTGACCCTTTAATGTTGTTTAGAGCCCCTTCCCTTTAAGTGGGGTATGGTATAAATCTGGTTTTAGTATTTTTATGTGTAGGGTTTACCCGACCCCTTTTATGGGGCGAGAGCCACTCTTAACCGGGGAGTTTTGGTTTTTAAGTACTTTCTGTAGTTATTAGTAATGGGGTAGTTTAAACCCGTTCTTCTATGTTGTGAGAGCCACTCTTAACGTGAGTACTGGTGTTACTACTGGTGTAGTGTTAGTACTGGTGTAGTTGACCTGACCTTCTATGTTGTGAGAGCCACTCTTAACGTGAGTACTGGTGTTACTACTGGTGTAGTGTTAGTACTGGTGTAGTTGACCTGACCTTCTATGTTGTGAGAGCCACTCTTAACGTGAGTACTGGTGTTACTACTGGTGTAGTGTTAGTACTGGTGTAGTTGACCTGACCTATGTTGTGAGAGCCACTCTTAACATGAGTACTGGTTTAAGTACTGGTGTAGTGTTAGTACTGGTGTTGTTGACCTGACCTTCTATGGACAATGTTTCTGCTCACCCGCCAGGCTGCTGGAGGAAAATTTGGTGGATGAATACGGCTTTATTAAAGTGAAGTTCTTGGCCCCTTATCTCCTCTTATCCAACTCATGGACCAGCAGGTAATTTTCAGTCTTAAGAAACTTTACACAAAAGCACTGTTTAAAAGATGCTTTAAAGTGACCTGAAACAGAGTTTAGACTTAAGAAATTTTGAAAAGAAACATTTTAATATCCTCTAGAGTTGAAGGATAATAAACAAAGTCGGTGGGAAGTTTCAGCTTTGCCTCTCTGTGTCAAAGATTTTGATGGCTTTCAGGCAGAGCTTGTAGCAAAGAATATTGTTTCCCTGGGCCAGTCCATGGGTTTGAAAATGGATGATAAGGATGTAGAGGAGTTGATGGAGGATCACAAGAATGTGCTCACCACAGAAGAACTTCAAGACCCACAGAAGGAGCAGCAAGAAGAAATGGTTGAGGAAATTTCTTCTTCAGAGGAGAGAAGCAATAACGGCAACATTCCACTGCAGAAATGAAGGAACTGTGTAACCAATGGGCTGACAGACAGAGCCTGGTGAAAAAAATGGCATCCTAACATTACTGTTGTGAACAGGAGCCTCAACAAGTTCAATGATAATGTTGCTGACCACTTTAGAAAAAAATATTATTATTATAGTCAAGGGGGAAGCACTAAACCTGTAGGATTATACAGCACCTGTGGGGGTGGAAGGTATTTAGGCTTAATCAGGGAACTGGAGCACAGATCCAGTTCCCTAGATCAAGAGCCCCTCATCAGCATCAAGGAGCCTTCCTTGAGGGGAGAAAAATTTTGAAGTCGCTAAAAGCAGAGAACATTGGACAGCTTTTTTGGCAAGAAAACAAATCAAATGTTTAAGTAAAAGGACACAAGTGCAACTAATGTGACATTTTATTGTGGCAACGTTTCGCTCTCCTGGAGAGCGAAACGTTGCCACAATAAAATGTCACATTAGTTGCACTTGTGTCCTTTTACTTTACATATTGTCGGTAATTCTACCAACTTTATTACAAATCAAATGTTAGTGAATCTCCACCACCTTCAAGTGCTGCTGAACACAGAAAAAACACCAGACGTACAGTTACCTGATGTTTTATGGAAGATGACAACCTTTTTCAAACACTAACATCTCTCCACCTTCCTCTTAAGTCATCACCACTCATTATTATTATTACAGTGGTACCTCGGTATACGCCCACTTTGGAATAAGTCCAACTTGGTATACGTCCTGTTTGGACGTGAACATTTATGCTTGGTATACGACCTTTGTTTGGAATACAACTCAAGTGCTAGAACTTGTATACTTGGAGTCTACCTGGAGGTTATTCTGGGGGTCAACGCCCCCGCGGCCCAGTCCACGACCAGGCCTCCCGGTGGATCAGGGCTCAAAATGAGTCACGACACCGCACTACCAGAGAATATTTCAGCAAATGGTTTAATGTTGTGTTTAGGCCAAGTGAAAAAAAAGTTATTTAGAGGAGAAGAACCTGCCTCTGAAGGCCCTCCTCATAATGGACAATGTTCCAGCTCACCCTCCAAGCTTGCATGACAGTGTTCCAGCTCACCCTCCAAGCTTGCATGACAGTGCTCCAGCTCACCCTCCAAGCTTGCATGACAGAGCTCCAGCTCACCCTCCAAGCTTGCATGACAGTGCTCCAGCTCACCCTCCAAGCTTGCATGACAGTGTTCCAGCTCACCCTCCAAGCTTGCATGACAGTGCTCCAGCTCACCCTCCAAGCTTGCATGACAGTGCTCCAGCTCACCCTCCAAGCTTGCATGACAGTGCTCCAGCTCACCCTCCAAGCTTGCATGACAGTGTTCCAGCTCACCATCCAAGCTTGCATGACAGTGCTCCAGCTCACCCTCCAAGCTTGCATGACAGTGCTCCAGCTCACCCTCCAAGCTTGCATGACAGTGTTCCAGCTCACCCTCCAAGCTTGCATGACAGTGCTCCAGCTCACCCTCCAAACTTGCATGACAGTGCTCCAGCTCACCCTCCAAGCTTGCATGACAGTGCTCCAGCTCACCCTCCAAGCTTGCATGACAGTGTTCCAGCTCACCATCCAAGCTTGCATGACAGTGCTCCAGCTCACCCTCCAAGCTTGCATGACAGTGCTCTAGCTCACCCTCCAAGCTTGCAGACAGTGCTCCAGTTCACCCTCCAAGCTTGCATGACAGTGCTCCAGCTCACCCTCCAAGCTTACATGACCCTCCAAGCTTGCAGTAATTTCAAGAAACTCTACACTAAAGCACTATTCCAGAGGTGCTTTGAAGTGACCTTTGACAGAGTTTTGGAAAGATCGCCCATTGCATAACTGTCACTGACAAAGCCTGACAGGAAGTTGCATATAGAACAATGAAATCTGCTCGGAGGAATTTGTGGACAGAAGCAGTGGCTGAAAGGGACTTTGAGGCTGTGTCTATAGTGTCTCTCTGAGAGGGTCCAGAGGTCTGGATGTGAGTGATGGTGATTATTATTATTATTATTATAATCAAAAAGAAGCGCTAAGCCACAAGGGCTATACAGCGCTGCAGGGTAGGGAAGGAAGCAAGGGAATTGGATGGCAGAAGGGAGGGGAGATGATCAGCAGGTTACGGAAAACAGCGGGGCAGGGGATAGTACGGGGGTAGAGGGTAGCAAGAGATACAAGTAGAAAGGGCTGAAAGTATCAGAATTTGTGAAGTAAGTCAGTCGTTGTCAAAAAGTCAATGAGAGAGTCCGGATGAAAGGTGGGAGTGATGGTGATGTGGAGGGGCACAAGACTAAGATGGATGCAGTCTCTTCAGGCTCAAGAGGAAGGCCCTAGTTCATGAACGTCAAAAACTTTGCAGAGAATTACCACCCCAACAAAGCTGATATAGCATTGTCTAGAATGACCAGACAGTGCCACATTTCCAAAACATCCTGAGGAGAAGGCAAAAACAAAGTTCATTGGACAGATTTTGAGTAAAAGTCAAACCTGGTGAGCTTCAACCAGGTCCAAATAGGGAAAAAGAGAAGGGGACTCTCCTTCCAAACAACAACATTTCCTCCTCCTCCCTTCTTAGCACTATCCTAGGAGGCACTCTGCTCTTTTCAGTAAAGTGAGCTTATATTTGCATTTATTTCATCTAATTCTTTTGTATTTATGTATGTATTTTAGTATTAAGCAGTATTTAAATTACATATTTTAGTATTAAGCAGCATTTAAATTACATATTTTAGTATTAAGCAGCATTTAAATTACATATTTTAGTATTAAGCAGCATTTAAATTACATATTTTAGTATTAAGCAGCATTTAAATTACATATTTTAGTATTAAGCAGCATTTAAATTACATATTTTAGTATCAAGCAGTGTTTAAATTATTTTATACAACCCCATCAATGTATAATATGCCAATAACAAAAGTTTTTTTTTATGGGAACGGATTAATCGTTTTCCTTATATTTCTTATGGGAAAATTCGTTCGGTATACGTCCAAGGTCCTGGAACGGATTAAGAACGAATACCGAGGTACCAATCTATTTTCAAATGCTGTGTCAAATGAGCCATTGATTGTTTTCGTGTTTCATGGTTACACAAGATTTTTATGTGATGAATATTTTGTTTGTATATGTAACCCTAGCGGGTTTAGTGCTTCTTTTTGATTATAATAATTGTTGTTTATGTCAGTTGTGGTGTGTGTTGTGTGTGCAGAGTGTGTATGTTGAGTGGCGGGATCAACCTAACTGTTGCTACACTCTGAAGACACAACAACAACCTGGCATGGTGAGTAGACACCACTCTCTCTGTCCTCTTATATACTGGTGAGTACACACCACCCTTTCTGTCCTTTTATATACTGGGAGTACATACCCCCTTTGTTATTATAATTATAATTGTAATTTATTATTATTATTATTATTATTATTATTATTATTATTATTATTATTGTGTATTATTAATAAAAAATTACATGTAATTTAAATTCACATTATTATTACTTTAATAACAAAGAAATATTCTTGTTTTTAGTTTGTAAAATAAACTTAACTTGATATATACACTAGATGTGTATATACCAAATGTGTATGTCTAGTATGTGTATTTATCAGGTGTGTATACTATGGTATGTCTAGTGTGTATACTAGTGTATGTCTAGTGTGTATATTAGTGTATACTACTGTATGTTTAGTGTGTATATAAGTGTGTATAATAGTGTATATTTTGTGTATATACCAAGTGTGTATACTAGGGTATATCTAGTGTGTATACTAGTGTATGTCTAGTGTATATACCAAGTGTGTATACTAGTGTATGTCTAGTATGTGTATTTATGAAGTGTGAATACTATCGTATGTCTAGTGTATATACTAGTGTATGTCTAGTGTATATACCAAGTGTGTATACTAGTGTATATCTAGTGTGTATATTAGTGTATACTAGTGTATATACCAAGTGTGTATATTAGGGTATGTCTGGTGTATATACCAAGTGTGTATACTAGGGTATGTCTGGTGTATATACCAAGTGTGTATACTAGGGTATGTCTGGTGTATATACCAGTGTGTATACTAGGGTATGTCTGGTGTATATACCAAGTGTGTATACTAGGGTATGTCTGGTGTATATACCAAGTGTGTATACTAGGGTATGTCTGGTGTATATACCAAGTGTGTATACTAGGGTATGTCTAGTGTACATACCAAGTGTGTATATTAGGGTATGTCTGGTGTATATACCAAGTGTGTATACTAGGGTATGTCTGGTGTATATACCAAGTGTGTATACTAGGGTATGTCTGGTGTATATACCAAGACTCCAGGCGGACATCAACCAAATCTATAAATGGGCCTCAGAAAATATGAATTTCACTGAAGACAAATTTCCATTACTCTGATATGGAAAACTCGAGGAAATTAAAACTATATCGGAGTATAAAGTAAATACCAACCACACAATACAGTGAAAAAACTATAATGTGAAAGACCTGGGAGTGATAATGTCAGAGGATCTCACTTTCAAAGATGACAACCATGAGAAATTGTGGTATCCTTTCCAAGATACGATACTATGTACCCCAAAGGGCCCTCCTTACCTTTTATTACTCTCTAATATACCCTCACCTCACCTATGGTATTTGTGCTTGGAGATCTACCTTTAATACAGATGATTACAAACTCCTGTGCCAGACAACACACCACGAGTCTTCAAAAACATGAACTACTTAATACCTGGAGTTTACCTGGAGAAGTTTTCAGGGGTCAACGCCCCTGTGGCTCGGTCTGAGACCAGGCCTCATGGTGGATCAGGGTCTGATAATATATATAATATACACACTTATTACTGTACTTAGTATATATACAAAACAATAAACTCCAATATGAACCCTCCACTCAAACTTCTCCTAGAGAGCTACAACACAACACAGGCATAACACGAGGCACAATACACTTCCTGACATTCCTCGTGTCCGTCTCACACTGTGGGATAATACAATGTACATAAAGGGCTATACTGAAAGATCATCTCATCTGTCAATAACAAACATACCCACCTATGCACATACCCACCCCCTACACACCCACATACCCACCTACCTACATACCCACCTACCCATGTACCCACACCCATATACCCATCTACCCACATACCCACACACCCACCTACCCACACACCCACATACCCACCTAACCACATACCCACCTACCCACACACTGCATTTTCTTGGACTGCAAGAAGGCGTTTGACACAGTTCCACACAAGAGATTAGTGCAAAAACTGGAGGACCAAGCAGGGATAACAGGGAAGGCACTACAATGGATCAGGGAATACTTGTCAGGAAGACAGAAGCGATTCATGGTACGTGGCGAGGTGTCAGAGTGGGCACCTGTGACCAGTGGGGTCCCACAGAGGTCAATCCTAGGACCAGTGCTGTTTCTGGTATTTGTGAACGACATGACGGAAGGAATAGACTCCGAAGTGTCTCTGTTTGCAGATGACTTGAAGTTGATGAGAAGAATTCATTCGATGGAAGACCAGGCAGAACTACAAAGGGATCTGGACAGGCTGCAGACCTGGTCCAGCAATTGGCTCCTAGAGTTGAACCCCACCAAGTGCAAAGTCATGAAGATTGGGGAAGGGCAAAGAAGACCGCAGACGGAGTACAGTCTAGGGGGCCAGAGACTACAAACATCACTCAAGGAAAAAGATCTTGGGGTGAGTATAACACCAGGCACATCTCCTGAAGCGCACATCAACCAAATAACTGCTGCAGTATATGGGCGCCTAGCAAACCTCAGAACAGCATTCCGACATCTTAATAAGGAATCGTTCAGGACCCTGTACACCGTGTATGTTAGGCTCATATTGGAGTATGCGGCACCAGTTTGGAACCCACACCTAGCCAAGCATGTAAAGAAACTAGAGAAAGTGCAAAGATTTGCAACAAGACTAGTCCCAGAGCTAAGAGGTATGTCCTACGAGGAGAGGTTAAGGGAAATCAACCTGACAACACTGGAGGACAGGAGAGATAGGGAGGACATGATAACGACATACAAAATACTGAGAGGAATTGACAAGGTGGACAAGGACAGGATGTTCCAGAGATGGGACACAGCAACAAGGGGACACAGTTGGAAGTTCAAGACACAGATGAATCACAGGGATGTTAGGAAGTATTTCTTCAGCCACAGAGTAGTCAGGAAGTGGAATAGTTTGGGAAGCGATGTAGTGGAGGCAGGATCCATACATAGCTTTAAGCAGAGGTATGATAAAGCTCATGGTTCAGGGAGAGTGACCTAGTAGCGACAGTGAAGAGGTGGGGCCAGGAGCTCGGACTCGACCCCCGCAACCTCAACTAGGTGAGTACAACTAGGTGAGTACACACACACATACCCACCTACCCACACCCACCTACCCACACACCCACATACCCACCTACCCACACCAACCTACCCATCTACCCACATACTCACCTACCCACATATGCACACCCACATACTCACCTACCCACATACTCACGTACCCACACACATACCCACCTACCCACATACTCCACCTACCCACATACCCACACACCCACATACTCACCTACCCACATACTCACCTACCCACATACTACCTACCCACATACCCACACCCACATACCCACACACCCACATACCCACCTACCCACATACCACCTACCCACACACCCACCTACCCACACACCACCTACCCACATACCCACACACCCACCTACCCACACACATACCCACCTACCCACATACCCACCTACCCACACACCCACCTACCCACATACCAACCTACCCACACACCACCTACCCAACACCCATACCTATCTACCCCTACCCAAATACACACCTACCCACACACCCACTTACCCACACACCCACATACCCACCTACACATCTACCCACATACCAATATACCCACCTACCCACACACCCACCACACCCACATAACCACACCCACCTACCCACACACCCACTTACCCACACACCCACCTACACATCTACCACACACCCACATACCCACCTAACCACACCCACCTACCCACATACCCACCTACCCACATACCCACACACACCCACATATCCACCTTCTCACATACCCATATACCGATACATACCTACCTACCCACACACCCACATACCCACCTACCCATCTACCCACCTACCCATATACCCACACACCCACCTACCCATATACCCACCTACCCACACAACCACATACCCACCTACCCATCTACCCACCTACCCATATACCCACCTACCCACACATCCACATACCCACCTACCCGCACACCCACATACCCACCTACCCACACACCCACCTACCCACACACCCACATAATCACATACCCACCTACCCACACACCCACATACCCACATACACACCCATATACCTACACACCCACCTACCCACCTACACCACACCACCTACCGAACACCCACATACCCAACACCACTACCCACACGCCCACCTACCACACACCAACTACCCACATCACCCACCTACCCACACACCACCAACCCACACGCCCACCTACCCACACCCACTTACCTACCCACACACCCACTACCCACACACCCATCTACCAACCGCCCACCTACCCACAACCCACCTACCTCACGCCCACTACCCACACACCCATCTACCCACACGCCCACCTACCCACACCCACCTACCCACACACCCACCTTCTGACACGCCCACCTACCCTCACGCCACTACCCACACACCCACCTAACCACACACCCACCTACCCACACACCCATATACCCACACCCACTACTACACACACCCACATACAAACATACCCACCACCCACATACCCAACCCCCCAACCCACATACCCACCCCCCACATACCCACTTCCCCCACCACCCACCCCCCCAAAAACCCACACCCAATCCCCCACACCCTTCCCATACACCCCATACCCACCCCACATACCACAAACCCCCATCCCCACAACCCACAGTGAAGAGGCGGGGCCAAGCGGGACCGACCCTGAACCCAACTGGGGACAAAAGTGAGTACATACCCACATACCCCCCATCCACATACCCACACACCCACAACCCATAACCCAACCCCACATACCCACCACGACATCCCACCACCCACATACCAACACCCCTACATACCCCACACCCACATACCACAACCCATTACCCACCCCAATACCCACACACCCACACCTAACACACCTACATACCCACACACCCACATACCCACAAAACCCACCCCAACCAATACCCACATCCCCCAAACACCCACAA